TAACAATTGAATTGAATTGTTGGACGAACGTCACTGTCACCAACTCCATGTGCAGAAGGAAAATTTGGTTTGGCCGTAACAAGCAACATTAAATGCATGAGAATTATTTCAAGCTACGCATATTTTCGAGGAGGCTATTTTCTTTCTTTGGCAGACAATTTACAAATGTCAAATGCTGGGTATTAACACATCACATTAGAGTGAATTATTGTTACGGCTCACAACATATATATAAATATATGTGTGTTGTAAGTAGAGATTAGATAGAGCACAACACAACGATCATATATACACAGAAAAGAAATAGTGAGTTGTATTTTATTTTCGGCAGTTAAAATACGAGTGATATCTTACAGTGAGCGATCACATTACAAGTGCAGTTTTAGCCTTGTATGATTGTAATTTTATTTGGTGTTAAACAAAATCCCCTCTCTCTTGTTCGCCCGTGGATGTAGGTCAGATTAGACCGAACCACGTTAAATACCGTGTTTAATTTTGTTTGTAATTTTTGGTAGTTTTTATTTTGTGAGTGTTACCGAAATCGTTAAATATTTTTTCAGAAGTGCTTAACTTGTTTTGTTGCATTCCCAACATGTTGATCAACGGGCACAACTGTATGTATAAGAGTTTCATCTAATGTACCTATTGCTCCCGAAAAAAACTCTTTTAACCATCTATGTCGTTTTGAGTTATGTCTTGTTGGATTAGGAGTTGTTGGTAGTATAACTTCTTTCGCAAAACAAATCATTACAACTAGGATCTCGTGAAAACATTAATGAATCGTTTGTGTGGAGTTTTGAAATCTTCCTTTAACCGTGCGATGATTTTTTTGGTGTTTTGAAATCTTCCGTTAACCATGTGAAAACGTTCATTATGTCCTATAACAAATATTGTGTATACGCATACCCGCTTGAATTGTTATCTCTTATTCTATGAATTCTGATTAGCCTTCGCCAGTTTGACCTCAACCAGTAGTACAAAAGTAAAAGAAAAGCTACAACTTCACCATCAGAAACCATACTTGACCTCTTACAAACAATTACAAATAACATATTAAAGTAAAAAAAATCATTCACCAAAAAAATAGTAAATAACAAAAGTCATCTTCAATATCCAATAACATAGCATCCAAAGTAACAAAAGTCATGCAACAAAAAACTAGTAAAATTCTTCCAAAGTAACATCCAAAAAAGTCATCAAACATAGCATCCAAAATTCATGCAAATAACAAAAGTCATGCAACAAAAAACTAGTAAAATCATCAATGCTAACTAAACTTCCTACCTGCACCTATCACCCACGACTCACAACTCGTAGGCGAAATCCGTAACCAAACTTTCCTAACATCGACACTTTCATCAAATAGAAAAAGATCGGTCTTGTGTCTTTCATACTCTTCTCCCCATTCCATTTTGTTCAATTTCTCCATACATCAATCGACATCCTTATCCATTTCACTTTTTTTTTTTTAATTCTTTCATTTTTTCCCACTAATGACCTTGCAAGTTTGACAATCTCCTCCTCAACTTCTAATGCCCTTTCATATATATATATATATATATATATATATATATATATATATATATATATATATATATATATATATATATATATATATCAATCAACTCTTTTGTTTCCACCAACATCCTTATTTTTTGAACGTCCCCAAGATTCTTCACTTTCACCTACGTGTTATGTTGAGGTTTCCATTGGAACATCATCATCAAAATCATGGGCACTAAACTCTTATGCAGGATGAGAGAGTGTAGAAGATGGCCCTCAACTTTGAAAGTCGGTTGAGGTCGACCCTTCAGATAGTTGGGTGCAAAGATCAGGGAAAATAGGGGTTTAGTTTTCAATGACAAGATGAACTTGTTTAACTATTTACAATTTTTATATATATTAGTATTTGTTATTAAAAAAATCATACTAGTATTTGTTATAAAAATATTACTTTCCCCTCTTTCTTCCATTCTTCATCGGTCAAATTAAATTTATTTTTTATAGGATCATATATATATTGCCATTTTTGTTTTTTAGTTTCATCTAAGCAACATACTTTGATTTGTAGTAGTCAAAGTGGTTTTTCATTTGTTGTTGATCAACCTATTTACCGTGTTCATTTATCAAACGTGTTCGTTTATCAAATTTTCACATATTTTCTTCCATGCACTTGTTTTAAACCTAGAACCCTCACGACCATTAGTGGTTAGTTCATGGATACATGCCTCAAAAAAGATTTTTGTCCTCACACTTGTTCCAAACCAACATCCTAAAATTATACAATTATAAAACTTGTATGAATCAACAACAAACAATCAAGAATAAAATTCTCAAATTCATCACTAGAACAACAAACAGTCAGGTATGTATGAACTCTCAAACTCATTACTAGAACATCAAACAATCAATTTAAGTCCAATATTTCCCTAATATAAACAAAACATAAACATAAACATCAAAAATGAACATAACAGAAACAGAAACAACAAACTTATTAGTAGAAGGCATCTAATGTGAGCAAATCTTTTACAATTCAAAGTCCAATATGGACTCATTATCTTGGATAGATTCCCCTGCATTGTTGTCTACTTTTCTAGACAAAGAACTAATCCCCCCCCCCCCCCCCCCCTTAACAAAATCATGAAACCTGGAAGTGGAAATTGATATTTCTCACCTACCAACTAAAGATTATGTTTTGCAATTGAACAATAAAATTCTGCAGCAAACATGAACAAAAACAACAAAAAATCAGAACTTTTAAACAAGTTCAAACATAAATAAAACAACAAAATTCTGCTAAACAGAAATTCAAACCAACATCAGAATCTATAATTTAAAAATCAAAATTCAGAACAAGAAACAAATCATAATCCAAAATTCAAACCAGGTTATGTTTATATTATGATTAACTAAAATTTTTCTGTCGATCTTAAGAATAATAAATAAATCAGAATCTGAAAGAAAAAAAAAACAATTTATGAATGTTATGCATGACAAATGAATGGGTAGTCATTTTCATACCTAATGAAGAGGCAGGAGATCGTCGATGGAGGTTGGATGTGATGGAGATCGTCGGTGGTGGGGGGGATGTAGAATCGATGAGAAGGAGGTGTTGGAAGAAAGAGAAGGATGGAGGCGCTGAATGAAAACGTAGCGCAAGGGTAAAGATGGAACTTTTCTCAATAAACTGTTTTCCCTATGTATATGAATCAAATTCTTTCTTACCGAGTCAGATGCCCATAGTTCGATTACCAAATACCTTTTGCTGACCGAGTCAACAAAAAACATCTGACCCGACTCGGTCAGACACACACACATAGAAATAGAGAGTGAAAGAGAGAGAAAGAAAGATGCTAATACCTACGCTGTTTCATTTATAGAGAAACTAAGATCAAAAATCTCTTTGCTTCTCTAAATTTTGATTCACATTATCAAAAAAAAAAAAGGGCATGAAGCAATCCGAGCCACCAAAGGCAACAAAACGCGAACATGGGGTCGATTTGATCAGCAACATGCCAGATGATATTATTGTTTCGATTCATTCATGTGTTTTGCACACTGAAGAAGTTATTTGAAGCAACATTTTGTCTAGACGATGGAGGTATTTGTGGACTACAATTCCGTCTCTTGACATATACTGTTTTCGTGAAGGTAGGCCTCGAAGAAAGTTCAAGAAAAGACAATTTAAAGAGTATGTGTATTGAGTTTTAGCAAACAAAAAAGAAAACTGCTTAAATGTGAACAAAAAGAAAAATTAATTACCCTAATAAGTCATTTTCCCTACTTTTAATACGATTTTATTTTTCATATTTGTTTGTATTATTTTTTTAAACGTTATTTTTAAAATATTCATAGTTTCCTAAATATTAATTAAATATTATCAATTCTAAGCTTTACTTTTAATTAATAAATATGTTTTTGTTTTGAGAAATATTTTATATAGCCTCTTATAAATTTTTTTCTTTGTTTTTAAGAATATACAATATTTTTAAAGTAAATAGTATTTTACAATAAAATTAAATAAATTAAATATGTAACAATAAGTATGGATGGTGTTTTACAAAAATAAAAAGAAAATATTACTTAGCAAATATAAAAACAAAAAAAATGTATGTACTGTAAATATTTTAAAATTATTACAACTTTTTAATACTTTTTAATTAGAAGTTTATAAACTTTTAATTTTTTTAATACAACATTTTAAACTGGTATTTAACGAAAGTATTTTAAATGTTTTAAAAAAATATTAGATTATCATACAAAATCTATAAAACACTTTTAAAATATTGTAAAAGAAAGTTTAGAAATAATTGTATGAAAGTTATAAAAAAATTATAGTAAATGAAAAAAAAGTTAAAAACTTATAAGAAAATTTTAAAACATTTATAAAATATTTGGTTTAAAACACTTGTATTAAAATTATATAAAGGTATAAAACAAGTCTTAAAAAAATTATAAACAAAGCTTAAAATATTGTATCAGAAAAAACTTTAGAATATAAATATGTTAAAAGAAATTATAAAAAAATCTTATGAAATTTGTAAAAAAAAAAATGTTTATATTTAAACAATTTTTTAAATACATTTGACGATTTAATTTATTAAATGTATAAAAAGAATTAACTATAAAATAATAATAATAAAAAAGGGTAATTAACTTGCAAGTCATTTTTCTTGTGGATTAATTATGTCTTACAAAACCAATATTTTAAAATCCGGATCGACCTGGCCGGTTAAACCGTTTGGATCGTGATCCGAGATAAAAGATGAGTCAATTGAAAATGTTTTTTTTTTTTTTTTTTGTAAAAATACGAACCGGATCAAATTGATCGGGTTTCCTAAACCGCGGTCGAACCATTATATCGAAATGGTTAAAACCGGATTAACCCGTTTTAATAGGATTTGGATAAAAGTAGCGAACGGCAAAACTACTCAATGTGGTTGTTTATTATGTTTTAACATGGCCTGATGGATATCAAATTATTATTTTTTATATATCTATCTATTATGCTCCAAAGCCGGTTGACCCGTGAACGGGTCAGCGGGTCAACTGAAATCCTGCTTTTAAAACATTGTACAGAACTATCCCAATGACGCTAAAACCTACGCCTTTTCATTTACAGAGAAAGTACGATCGACAATCTCTTCGCTTCTCTAAATTCCGATTCACATCACCAAAAGAAGAAAGATCATGAAGAAATCAAAGCCACCTAAGGCAGCAAAACGCGAAGATGGGGTCGATTTGATCAGTAGCATGCCGGATGATATTCTTGTTTCGATTCTTTCACATCTTCCGCACACTGAAGAAGTTATTCGAAGCAGCATTTTGTCAAGACGATGGAGGTATTTCTGGACTTCAATTCCCTCTCTTGACATATACTGTTTTCGAGGATCCACGGATCAACAAAATTTCAAAAAAAGCAAATTCAAAGAGTTTGTGTATTGGGTTTTAGCAAACAAATCCGTCAATTTGGATAGGTTCCATCTAGGTTGTGCTAATTACTACACTATGTCGACGGTAGGGCGGTGGATTCATGTCGCCGTTACAAGAAATGTCAGACAGCTTGAGTTAACGTTTCGCCCTAAGGAGGATAGTGAGGATGTAGAGATGCCTAATTGTCTTGTGACTTGCGGTTCGTTGGAGGTATTAACATTGAATATGTTGGGACATCGTCTAAGGTTGCCTAATAGTATGGGGTTTCGGGCACTTAGGGTTCTTAAATTGAGCAGGGTTGATTTATTGGGAGATGATGGTTTGGTAAAAGGTTTCCTCGAAAGATGCCCATTGCTTGAGAAGTTGAGTTTGATATCCTGCATCATGAACGAACTTGATCTTCTTTGTATTTCATGTCCGAAGCTAGAAATGCTGAGAATTGAAAATGACAACGATGAGTGCATGTGTGATTGCATTATGATTTCTTGTCCAAAACTGGTGGATTTGGATTTAAGAGGTCATATAGCTTATAATTTTTTCTTTGATTGTCCAGACTCCTTGAAGGAAGCTGCGATTGAGCCTAAATTGATGAACAACACCATATCTGTTGTGCTGTTTCCTGGAATTTCTAGAGTAGAATATTTGTCTATCCACCTCCACTTATTCATTCTGGTAGATGCTTATTCTCTTTATCAACAATTTCTCATTTTGGTTTTGTTTTAGGAAAGAATATGATGATGCTTATAGATTTTTGAAAGTATCATTGGTTTTCAATTCATCAAACCTTTGTCAATATTGCAGTGCCTTGATGGTGAATGTGATCCCTCTCTACCTAATCTGAGGAATCTGGTGCTTAATACAACTATGGATGCCTTCACCATGGATAGCTTCAAACGAGTTCTCAAATATTATCCCAAACTGGTGTCTCTTGAGTTGATCATTCAACAGGTATTCTCATATCAATTGGTTGTCTTTTTTTATGTATCACATTCTTGAAGCACGTTGCTAATTGCTTCACTTTCACTCTTTCCTTGTGTCTTCCGCATCTAAATTCCAAACTGAAGTTGCTGAAAGTATATTTTATTGCTTACAACCTTCTAAATCGTTTATTAAAAAAAAAAAAAAAAAACTTATGCTTTTGTTTGCTGCTTTAGGATTTTCATGGGAAATACGCTTGTTTGGATAAAGATGAAACAATGAGAATCTCGACTCCTGATATGAAAAAAGTCGCGTTTTTTGAATTTAATGGAGAAAAGCCGAAACTACTCATAGACTGGCGTGGAGATAAATTGGTTATGTTTTTCACTTGGGGGTGACATGGCCAGTTTCTGATAAACTGTAAAGTAATACTTGTTTTATGTGGATGCCTTTTGTATTTGGATTTTTGTTTCATGTTGGCTTCTTTTTCAACTATAACTAGAAAATACTTGTTTGGTTCTTCTATAAAAACTACAACACAGCACTACTAATTGCAACATCAATATGTAAAACCAAAAACACGAATGTAACCATAGCAACATAACATTTGCACCACCACAAAAATGAAATTCATAGTTTAGGGGGTAGAGAAGAATAAATATGAAATACATAGTTTTTCGTCCTATGCAATCAATAGTCAACTCTTCTATATCCATTCATCCTGTATGTATGATATGACAGATTTGTATGTTTGACATATAATTATTTTGGTATGAATGTATAACATGTATGTGTATGTATAATAGGTATGTACATATGACAGATATGTATGTGAATTCACAAAAGCTCACAAGTACGTATTTTCTTGATATATATCTGCAATCGGAATTTAATTAAGGGGCCATTATAAAAAACAGAATTTAATAAAGGGATAGAGAGGCGAAGAGTTAATTTCTATAGAAAATCATTTGGAACAGAAGTGATCTCACTTTGTTTGCATGTATGAAGAAACAATAGTAAGGTGTCAAGAGCAGTGGCCATGTAGGAGACAAAGTAGCATAATTGAAGCTAAGGGTTGAGAAATTCGAGAGTATTCATCACTAATATCTGGTTTTAACATTGGACGTGTAAGTTGTGTAAGTTGTAGCATCTGAGATCAAGGTTGAGGTATACCCTAAGTGAGAAATGGAGTATTTCAATTAAGTGAATAAAAGAAGAGTTTTAAAGAGTAAATGGTCATTTTAGCACAAATCCAAAGAATGATGCTATTTTAGAGACTATTTTTTTTTTTTTGTTTTTTTTGTTTTTTCTTCATCGTAATAGGGTGCTTTACTCTAATTTTATAAATTAGAGTTAGTTTTGATTAAAGAGAGTCTTGGAGTTCGACTTTGGAAAATTTTATAAAAGTTAAAGTATGTTGCTATTTTTTGTAAAGAGTGCAATCTTATGGTGATGGGGATTGGTGAATTAAAATTACACAAACTAAGTGTAATTATATACAAATACATACTTCACACGTAATGTAACACCAATAGCCGGTAATTTTCCTCATTTACCACCAATTTGCAAATTAATAGTCAGCTTCTTTAACTTCCAGATTGTTTTGAATTAAGATGTCAATAGAAATAAAGATTAACACAAAGAAAGCTTAAATCCAAAACATGCAGCAGGAATTAAAATGTCAATCAAAGTAAACATTAACAAAAGAAAAGTAAGATCTCTTGATTTGATTAGGGCAACACCATCAATCATTTTTTTCTTACAAAAACCATAAACTTCTGGCATCTGCAACAAATTTATTCAATATTTTATGAGATGAAAAACACCTACTCTCTAGAGCAAAGATTCATCCAACTCTAAAAATTGACCTAATATAATCTTATATGCACCAAAATCAAAGAACTTTATACTAAAAGGAAAAGGACTTGCTTTTTCACAAGATCAAACGTACACACACAAAAATGGAACCCTAATTCAGTAAAAAAAAAACCTCAAAAGCCCTTTGTTTAAACCTTCACTTTAAAGATTTTCTTTTTATCGATAAAAAAAAAAAAAAAAAAAAAAAAAAGAAATCAACATTTCTAAAGAGACGAGGGTATATGTTTAAGATAAAATTGTTAACTTTTAAGCTTTATCCTCGATCCATCATTCAGAGTAATATTGAAAGGAGTCCAAGTCTTCACACATTTTGAGGTATTGCCAACAGGGACATCTAGAACATAGGATTTAACATATATTAGATGCTCATCATATCTCTTCACACACAAATACCCAATCTAAGCTACAAACCCTGATACGAATAGGGGGCAGGGGATGGGGTAATTTCTTTTTGGGTTTTTATGAATGCAGTAGAAAAAGAAACAAGAACAAGAACAAGAATAAAATAAAAAAAATGATAGATTTGATAAATAATCTAGACCTATAGATTGAATATCGAAAACAAGTTAAGACCTGTTAACTTGAATTCTATCAGGATCAGGAAAGCATCCGTCAAATGATATTTGATGAAATAGGGATGCCAAAAAGTATTGTGGGATCCAAATTCATAGGGGCCCGATCCTATATGGGATATTTGTTAAAATAATCGGGGGTGGGGACGGAGCCAAGGTTAACCCCCGTTTTAATTTCAGGGCGGGGATAGGGATAGGTAGTCTCGTCCCGAAAATGGGGGTCCCGTTAATATATTATATATATTTATATATTAATTATATAAATATAATAAATAATAACAATGATTTTGAGCTTCCAAAAGTCAATAAAAACATCATGTTTTTAGTTTGTTAGTATAACGTTTTTGAGATGTACTAATATTTTTGTTTTTAACATTTAAAATTATGTTATAAATAACTGTTTTTAACCCAAAAAGTAGCTTCTTTAAGCCCAAAAACAACTTCTTTTAACCCAATAAAAAATAACCCAAAATCAATCAGGGGCAGGGAAATAGGGGCGGGGGCAGGGGTGGGGATGCTGGAAATTTCGGGGGCGGGGGCAGGGGAATTAGGAAATTTCAGAGGTGGGGGCGAGGGATGCAATCCCTATCCCGTTTGCCCCCCGTTGACATCCCTAACTTGAAATCGAGTCATGAATGAGAAACGCGTCCCAAACAATGACAACAATCCGAGTTATACGTAATAATTCAAGAAAGCAAGAACAAACGTTCTTCAAAATTCAAATTTAATTCTATTCATGATTACAATGCTTTAAGGGGCTATTTATATCCTTGCAAGCTATTAAAAAAAGGAAACTAATTACAAAAAGGAAACTACCTAATAAAAGCTTAAAAGAAAATAAAATCGTTTCCAAAAAATAAGGTAGAGTCTAGAATCTTCGTCCTTAAGATAACCATGAAAAAGTCCACGCAATTAGCCATGCAAACCCTTCTTGTTTCGAACTGATCCCATGTAGCTTGCATCCAACAACATCACATCCAAGTAGTCCTTGAGAACCAATATCCATATAGTTCTGAGGTTGTTCACAATCACAACACTCCGAAGTTTGCCTCTGACAGTATTCCGAGATTCGCATTGTACCGTACTCCAAGAATCGCAATTGCAACCGATAACAAGGGACCCATTGCACTAATAACACAAGACTTCGATTCATTCCGATGGTTCGGAACCAATCACAACTAATGACACTCGAACCACAACTGTTCATAAGTGATTGCAATGGATTGCGATTGTTCACATCCATTCACAACCAACACCCTTCTCAGAGTTTAACCATTTGCATTCAATAATACTCGATTTGCATCCAATAATAAGACACTGCGACTCATTGCGATCGTTCGCAACTAGTTGCAACCAGTCACAACTACTACTCGGTTTGGAAGTTAAGAGGCTGCCTTTTGCATTCGTATCATCCTCTCCCCATTTGAAAGGAATTGTCCTCAATTACAAGTGGAAAAAATTGTGTTATTTAGCAAAGACCTCCTTTTCTTCAACAATTTTGTTCAAATCAACAAAATCGATTTCGTCCACAGTCGCTTCATCAATTTTGTTTTCGGCCACGAAATTATTTTCTTCAATGACTTCTTCATTCCCATTGACATCAGTAAGATCATACACTGGGGCCTCATATTTTTCCTCTTCTTTTGACTCATAAGTTTCCTCGGTCACAACAGTAGATTCTTCGATCTCATCCAATTTCCCTAGCCTTGATTTAGAAATTTGAGGATAAGTTTACGCTTTAGATCTTCCCATGGTGAGATTTCTTTCCCCTTTATGAGTTCTTATGGCCTTCAGTCCTTCATACTTGCATCTTATCTCATCAAATCCTTTGGACTCAAAAATTTCTTCAATCTTCTCCTCCCAATCTAAATATTTTTATAGATCTGTTCCACCCATGAATTTAGGCAATTGATTCACGTTGATGTTTTCAACATTCCTTGGTGGATGCCGCCTTTCTCCTTCTTGCAAACCACATAGTGCTTCACGTAATCTGATTAAGAAACTTGGATCACCAAAATCCATGGCTTCTTAAGATGCGATTTCAACCGAATCAACAGTAAAACCTGGATAAGAAAAATAAAACACGAAAATCACAACAACAAATCAAACTAGCAAAACAACAGATCTTGACAACGAATGAATCCAACAAACTCAGTAGGATTTTTTTTAAACATGACAACAAAAGTCGAAACTGAGCTCTAAAAAACACTTGGCATGAATTTTAGCTCTGATACCACATATAATATGAATACCAGGGGGGGGGGGTAATTTCTTTTGGGGTTTTTATGAACGCAACGAAAAAAGAAACAAGAACAAGAACAAGAATAAAATAAGAAAAATGATAGATTTGATAAACACTCTAGACCTATACATTGAATATCGCATGAGAACAAGTTAAGACCTATTCACTTGAATTCTATCAAGATCAGGAAAGCATTCGTCAAATGATATATGATGACAAGCCAAGACCTATTAACTTGAAATCAAGTTACGAATGAGAAACGTGTCCATAAAAATGACAACAATCTGAATTATACGCAATAATTCAAGAAAACAAGAACAAATGTTCTTCAAAGTTCAACATTAACTCTATTCATGATTAAAATGATTTAAGAGGCTATTTATAACCTTACAAGTTATTACAAAAGGAAACTAATTACAAAATGGAAACTACCTAATAAAAGCTTAAAATAAAATAAAATAAAATTGTTTCTAAAAATAAGGTAGAGTCTAGAATCTTCGTCCTTAAGATAACCATGCAAAAGCCCACGCAATTAGCCATGCAAACCCATCTTGTATCGGAATTGATCCCAAGTAGCTTACATCCAATAACATCGCATCCAATTAGTCCTTCAGAACCAATATCCATGCAATTCTAAGGTTGTTTGCAATCACAACACTTAGAAGTTCACCTCTAATAGTACTCTTAGATTTGCATCGGATCACACTCCTAGAATCGCAATCGTAACCGATAACAAGGGACCTGTCGTAACGATAACACAAGACTCTGATTTCTTTCGATGTGTAACACCCATTTCCTGGTACGTATTTAAATTTGATTAATTGTATGTTTTCACATTGGGACTCAACGAGTTAGAGGCCCAACTCCTCGAGTAGACTAGACTCTTGGACGTGAGTTTTAAATAACCTACTCAACGAGTCGGAGAGCCCGACTTGACGAGTAGGTTTAGGGTTCACACCCTATTTAAACACATTATCTTGTCCCAACTCAGCCTCCATCGTCCCTCCCAGTCCAGAAAATCCCTAACTTGAAACCCTCATCAGTTATTGAGTATTCTTGAGCT